GGAGGAGGAGGAGGAGGAGGAGGAGGAAAAGGAAGAGGACCAGCAGGCGAGGAGGAGAAGGAAAAGGAGGAGGAACATTATACGGAGCAGAAGGGGCAGGCGGCGGCATAGAAGGACGAGGAGGAGGTGGTGGATGAGGAGGAGGAGGAGGAGGAGGAGGATGAGGAGGAGGAGGAGGAGGAGGAGGAAGTGGAGGAAGAGAAGGGGAGGCCGTATCGTGGGTAGCTTGTGTCGATGTCGAACGAATCCCTCCTCCTCCGTCCTCTCCACCCTCTCTTCTCCCCCCTCCGTCATCCTCCCTTCCTTCCTCCTTCCTCCCTCCCTTCCCTCCTTACCCCTCCTCTCCCTCTCTCCCTCCCTCCCTCCTCACCCCTCCCTAACTCCCTCCTTCCCTGGCGAGGCGCTGGCCGCGGCTGGCAAGGGCTCCTTCAAGCGGGGCGCCGTCGGCCAGGGCGCCTGGCTTTTGCGCCGGGCCCCCATCACCGCCTCTCCTATCAATCCTCCCTGCCTCCTCGCTTCCGTCCACTCTCCATCCCTTTGCCTTGTAAATAACTCCGCCCTGTCGCATCCCGGGATGTGTCGGCAGGCGGGCAGGGCGTTTGGCTGGAGACCCTCTCAGCAATTTCTGATTCTGAGGCTTGATAGTGCACGAGCTTCACGGATGGAGGGCGTGCCGTTTTCAAGATGTGGTTCTCGCCTCAGCGCCGCGCACATGGTTCGTCTTGAACAGTTGCAACAGCTTCAAGGATGGAGGGCGCGCCGTTTTCAAAGTGTGGCTCTCGCCTTAGCGCCGCGCACATTCCTTCTAAAAGTTTGCAACCGTTTCAAGGATGCAGGGCTGGCCGCTTTCCAAATGTGGTACTCGCCCTAGCGCTGCGCACATTCGTTTCAGAAGTTTGCAACAGTTTCGAAGATGCAGGGCGGGCCGTTTTCCAAATGTGGCTATCGCCCTAGCGCTGCGCCCCATTCGGATTAAATTCTGCCACGAGCTTCACTGATGGAGTGCAGTTCCTATTCCCTATGTGGCTCCCGCTTCAGCGCCGCGCATATTCGTTTGAAAAGTTAACAGGAGTTTGACTCATGGAGGGCAGCTCCTTTTCAAAGCGTGGCCCTGGCCACAGCGCCGCGCAAATCCGGTTTAAAAGTTTACGGCAGTTTCAAGAAGACTTGCTGTTGACGCCCCAGGAATGGTGTTCCCGCACGTGTTAGGATCGTCCGGGCGCGACAGTCACATCTATTCGCTGTGTTGAAGTCCCGGGAATGGTGTTCGTGCACGATTCTGGATCGTCAAAACGCAGTGACGTCGGTTCGCGGCGTTGAAGTCCCAGGAATGCTGTTTTGGCAAGGTTGAGGGTTTTCAGACGGTTGCCTTCCATTGGTGCGTTTCACGCAGTGAAGCTACATGTTTGTGGTAACCTATGAAGAGAGAACTTAGAGGTTGGGTTTACCGCAATATCGTTGATACGTCTTGTGTTCAAATTGTCCTTGTCCTCATCCTCATCCCTCCTCCTGCCTGCTGCCTCTTCCCCGCTCCCTCCTCCTCGTTCTTCTTCTCCAGGCGGCTCAGCAGCGTGATCATTTGGGAGGGGCCCGCATGGCCAGAGCCCCCGGTGCACGAGAGTGCGAGCCTTGGTGCGGGATGGTGCAGTCAGTGTGCGCCACGGGGGCGTCGCCGCCGACGGGATCGGAAGGCGCAGCCGACAGGCGCAGCTGGGCGGAGCTCTGCGCCGACCACCATCAGCAGACTCAGGGATGAGCCCCAGCGACGGCGGGCAGAGAAGTCGCGGATCCAGGCCCAGCTGGTCGAGGCGAAGGCAGCGACGAAGGAGCAGCCCTCGGCGAAGATCGACGGGCGCATCTCCAGCGCCCACGCCAAGCCCTTCGTGTCCAGCGACATGCCGCGGGAGTTCGTCAGGGCGCTCGTCTCTGTGCCGGAAGCCGGGGATCCGTGGTGGGGTCGGCAGTGGATGCAGGCCTGCGCGGAGGAGGACATCGTGCGTGCGTTTAGGGCGGACAGTGGCAGCGTCAAGAGGATTGGGACGACCATTGTCGACTTCGAGAGGAGGCAGCCTGTGAGAAAATAAGGACGGGCAGCGGTAGCCTCAGGAGGACGGGCAGTGGCAGCTTCAAGACGGTACGTGCGAGGAGGACGTGCAGCGGCAGCCTCAAGAGGGAGCGACCATGGCGTGCGAGAAGGGCGGGCGCTCGCAGCCTCCTGATAGAACGGCCTCTGCGTGCGAGAATGGCGGCCAGTGGCCGCCTCCAGAGGCTGCCACCGGTGAGTGGGAAAAGTACGGGCGGTGACAGCTCCGAGAGGGTGCGGCCAGTGCATGCGAGAGGGAATGGCAGTGACTGCCTCAAGAGCGAGCTGACTGCATGTGCGGGAAGAAGAGGCAGTGGCCGCCACAAGAGGATGCGGCCACTGCGCGCGGGAAGGATGGGCAGCGGCAGCCTCGAGAGGGAGCGGCCGGCGCGTGCGAGGAGGGCAGACCCACGCAGGCGCCGTCAGCTACGGACCGGCACGTGCTGGAACGGGCGGCGGAGGCGTCATGCGGTGTTGCGAGAAGCGCACCCTGACGCCATCGGCTACACTCGGGGGAGCGTAAGACCCGGGTTTGCCAGGACTCGGGTTCGCCACCGTTTTTTGACGACCGCGCCTCGGATTTTGACGAGGAGGAGTTTCGTGGGATGTCTGCAGCGGGAGGCCTCGTCAAAATGCAGGCTCGGCCTCGTCATTTTTTTGACGACCTCGTCGGGGATTTCCGAGTCCCCTGTACCCAGGTCTTACGTCCCCCTGATACACATCAACACATGCGAGAAGGGACGACAGCGACGGCAGCAGCTTTGAGGAACGAGCGCGCCCTGACGCCACAAGCTACGGACCCGTAGGAGAAGGCTGCACCGACAGGGGCGAAGGCAGAGCCCAACGACGTCATGTATTGTGAGGAGGTGTCGCACACCTTGGCCGTGTGGCAGGCCGCGTTTAGAGCCCATGTCTTCGCGCGGATACCTCGGAGCCTGGAGGCCGCCGCTATAGGTGTGTAGCAGTTGCTCGAGCCCGACGCCATCTACTGCGATGGGGCCCGCGCGTGCAAGAAGGTCGTGGCATAGTCCGACAGCAGTGGCGCGCGTGAGAAATACCGAGAATTGCCAACGGAAACCACCACAACGGGCGTCTGAGAAATCCAGGCACGGAGCGGTGGCAAGCTTCTTGACCAGGGCTGCAAAGTGTCCGCCGTCGCCCGACGAATGATGCTTGCGCGGACCTGGCGGCATGCCCTGGTAGGTCGCCCAGGCCAAAGATTGTGGCTCCTGGAGTCGAGCCCCGCTCCGTCACGGACTTCCGTATCCTCGCTGTGCACGTGCCCCGGCACACGCGCTCAAGAACTTCACGCTCTGAGCGTGCTCCTCTCCCCTCTCCGCGCGGTGTTTCTCCCCCTCCCCCCCTCGCCCGCTGTGCTCACCTCGGTTCCGTTGCACCCCGCGGCCGCCCCCGAACGCGACGAGGACCTTCGCCGCTGCGACCACGACGACGACGACGACGACGACGACGACGACGACGACGACGACGACGACGACGACGACGACGACGACGACGACGACGACGCGCGAGTGTGGGCAGGTCGCCAGAGACCCTGGTGGGATCCTGGCCGACCTTGACCAGCTTTCTGCTGGCTCTCAGGCCCTAGGCTCGAGGGCGCATGCCCGCGCCGACATCTCGAGGGGCGTTGTGCTAGGAGGTGGACCGGCGGCAGCTCAGTGTTCCAGTGCCGCCAGCGGTGCAGACCCCAGTGCTCGCGTTCTTGTGTGTGTGTGTGTTCTTGTACGTGTGTGTGTGTGTGTGTGTGTGTGTGTGTGTGTGTGTGTGTGTGTGTGCGTGCGTGCGTGCGTGCGTGCGTGCGTGCGTGCGTGCGTGCGTGTGTGTGTGTGTGTGCTTGTGTGTGTGTGTGTGTGTGTGTGTGTGTGTGTGCGCGTTCTTGTGTGTGTGTGTGTGTGTGTGTGTTGGTGTGTTCTTGTGTGTGTGTGTGTGTTCTTGTGTGTGTGTGTGTGTTCTTGTGTGTGTGAAGGCCCGCCGTGACACCACCGCCTTGGTGTCACGGCAGGTCTCCAGTCCAGCAGGCTGGCGGCCTCCCAAGGTTGAGGCAGCCGACCCAGCTGCTCCTGCCCGTGCCCGCCCCACTGCCGCCGAGCCTCCCCTCGCGCGGGCAGCAGGCCCTGCTCTTGCCAGGCGGTGTGCTGGCGTCGCACGTCCTCGACTCGCCCGAGGCGGCCATCGAGCAGGGCCGCAAGGCCGCCGCCAGCAGGGCCGAGAGGGCCGCCCCTCCCGCGAGGGCGCGGGACGGCCCCTGAAATTGTTCGTTTGCATGGATAAGGGGAACGAAAAGTGGCATAAACATAAAACCTCGGAGGTCCGCGCGGATTTCTCGGATCGGCGCTGGGGCCCCCCGGCGGCGCCTCCGGCGCCGCCCCCCCTGGCGCGCTCCGCGCGCCGGGCAGGGGGGTCCAGCGCGGATCCGAGAAATCCGCGCGGACCTCCGAGGTTTAATGTTCATGCCACTTTTCGTTCCCCTAATGCAAGTGCCTGGCCTCGGGTGGGCACGCGGAGAAATAGAGAATGCCTTCGCCGCAAGCGTCGGACGGCAGCCGGGAGCGCGGCCCGCCGCAACCGCGCCACGGCTCTCGCAGACCTCGGCCCCGGCCTCCGGCGACTGCTCCGCGACTGCTCCCTGCGCCTCCCTCCCGCGCCTCCCTGGTCCGGCCCCTCCCGGGCCTCTCCTGCTGCTGCTCCTGCCTTTGTCCCACCTCATCGCTCTCCTCTGCCTTCGCTCCCTCCTGTCGTTCCTCCTCCTCCTCCTCCTCCTTGCTTCTCCCCCTTCCCTCCCTTCCCTCCCTTCTCCTTCTCCAACCTTCTTCCCTTCCTGTCCTTTCTCATCCTCCATTCCCCCCCTCCGCCCTCGTCCGTTTCCCATCCATCCTTCCTTCTGCTGCCGCTCGTCCGTCCCTCCTCCTCCCTCTCCCTCCGTCCCTCGCTTCCTCCTCCGGTCTCCCGTCTCCCTCTTCCCTCCTTCCTCTTTTTTATCCTTGACACTCTTGTCGCCCTCTGGACACAGCAGTCCTCGAAGCTCTCCCTCCTCTCTTAATCGTTCCTCCCCCTCCTCATCCTCGTCCTCTTCGTCGTCGTCGTCCTCCTCCTCCGTCCTCCGCTCTCGTCCCCTTCTCCGTCCTCCCTGCTCGTCGTCGTTCTCCGTTCTCCCTTCCCCTCCGTCCTCCGTCCTCGTCGTCCTCGTCGCCATGGTCCTCGCCCTGCTCGTCGCCGTGGTCCTCCTCCCTCTGGCGCGCGCGGCCCGCGTCTCGCGATCGCGCGACCGCACAAAAAACGAGCGTGAGGCAAAGGATGGGGCAGCGAGGACAACGAGGAGGAACGGGGAGGAGCGAGGAGGGGGAGGAGGAGGAGGAGGAGGAGGAACGGGGAGGAGGAGGAGGAGAAGAAGAGAAGGGGAGGAGGCGGAATAACGAGGAAGAGCAAGAAGCGAGGAGGAGGAGGAAAATAATTACAATAAGAAGAAGACAACCAATAATAAGACGCAGAAGAAGAAGAGGAGGAGGAGGAGCAGAGGAGGAGGAGGAGGACGACGGCGAGTAAAGGTGGGAAGGAGCAGGAGGAGGAGGAGGAGGAGGAGGAGGAGAGGGAAGGAGGGGGAACACATGCGAAGAAGCGGGATGACATGCTGAGCGATAAGCGGGGAGGAGGAGGAGGAGGAGGAGGAGGAGGAGGATAAGGAGGAATCATGCTGCTGATGATGGTTATTATCATGATGATGATGCTGATGCTGATGAGGATGATGATGACGACGATGCTGCTGATGATGATTCTGATTGTGATGGTGATGGTGATGGTGGTGATGATGATTACGATAGTAATGCTGCTTCTGCTCATGCTGATGCTGATGATGTTTATGCAGATGCTGATGATGTCGCTGATGTTGATGAGGATGATGACGACGGTGACGACGACGAGGATGATGGTGATGGTGATGGTGATGCTGATGGTGATGGTGATGATGATAATGGTGGTGATGATGATGCTGATGATGCGGTTGGTGCTGGTGATGATGGTAATGCTGATGGTGGTGGAGATGCTGATGCTGATGATGATGAAGATGATGATGCTGGTGCTGCTGATGGTGGTGGTGGTGATGATGAGGATGCTGATGATGATGTTGGTGGTGATGATGGTTTTGGTGATGCTGATTACGTTTGTAATGCTGATGATGATGATGATGATGATGATGATGATGGTGGTGGTGGTGGTGGTGATTGTGATGGTGTTGGTGATGGTGGTGGTGATGCCAGTCGTGGTCGTGCTGATGATGATGACGATGACGACAAGGATGATTCGGATTCCTGATCATCATGATGAGGAGGAGGATACCGCTAGAGTACAACCAGCATGCACCGACGATGCTTTGGTACACCTACAGGTCCAACGTTTCCCCCCCACGAGTCACAAGAGGAGTTTATTTTCATTTACGGGAAGCGCATCCTTGAAGGACGAGTGCCACATGGGCCTGCCATATGGCGGGAACCCCTTTTCGAAAAGGAATTGCATTGCATTCTTCTCGCTATGGAGGTAGGGTCTTCTGTTGGAACCAATACCACTGAACATAGCAGTGGACGGCGGCATGCAACCCAGAGGGCACCACCGATCAAGAAGCGCTGATAAATCAGTCTTGCAAATTGTGATCCACCATGACTTTTATATCAGATTCGACATACAGGCATGTCGGAGTTTCTTGCCCGTAACTTAGTTCGCTGTTGTCACCCGCCTTCCACGGGCGCGCGCGAGCCATGCAGGAATGCTGGGGTAGGGAAAAATCAAGTCCAAGGACGTGCCCAGCGAGAACCCCGATGCGTAAATGTTAACGGGTGTGTTCTGACCATCGTCTCCAGGCGGATCCAGTTGTGGCGACAAGAAGCTTCTTGGGGGACCCGCCATGGGCCCCGAAACGCCCCCAAAACCTTGAGCCTCGAGCCTCGAGCACCCCCTCCGATCTTCGCATCCCCGATGCTCCTGCCCCTGCGTCCCCCCCCTCGATGCACCCGCGGGAGGGGGGAGGAGGGAATCCCCCCCCCGCGGGGGCGCGCAGGAGGGGACCCGAACACACCTCCCTCTCCTCCTCCTCCTCCTCCTCCTCCTCCTCCTCCTCCTCGTCGTCGTCGTCGTCGTCGTCGTCGTCGTCGTCGTCGTCGTCGTCGTCGCCGTCCTCGTCCTGGTCCTCGTCCTCGTCCTCGTCCTCTTCTCCAACTCCTCCTCCTCCTCCTCCTCCTCCTCCTCCTCCTCCTCCTCCTCCTCAATCACCTCCACTGTTTCTCCTCCTCATCCTCCTCCTTTTCCTCCCCCTCCCCTGTGCCCATCCCGGCCAGTTCTTCAAGCCGCGCCCGGCCGCTGCGACGGGACCCCCCCCAGAACGCGCCGGAAGACATTGGGAGCGGCGCCGTCGACGTCGTCGCCCCGATCCTGACCAGGCCCATCTTGGGCCCAGGATCGGTGTATGCGCCTTCCCGGTCACGCCAGGGACCTGGGCGCAGGATCGGTGAGGTGGTCGGTTGACGCCCCCCTACCTCTCACCCCTGCGGGCCCCCGAGCGGCGCCCGCGGAACTCCCCTCCTGATCCTCCCGATCCTCCCTGGTCCTTCCTGATCCTCTCGATCCTCCCCGATCTTCCCCGATCCCCCCGATCCTCCCCGATCCTCCCCGATCGTCCGAGGAGGGCCTTATGACCACCACAGGTTCCGTCACATTTGAAACACTCCCTCAGCGGGCGTCGGCTCCCCCGCACTGGCCCACGAGATTCGAACGACGACGCCGCCGCCGACGACGACGACGCCGACGACGACGACTACGACGACGACACGCGCAGAGAGGGGGGCGCGAACGACGAGGCGACGGGGGAGAGGACCCCCTCCAGACCCTCCCCGACCCTCCCCGAACCCTCCCCGAAGCCTCCCCGAGCTCTCCCCCGCTGCTCCCTCGGTCCTCCCCCTCCCCCGCTCCCCTCCTCCCCCCCCCGCGCGCGCCCAGGGCAGAGCTCTGAGCAGCGCCCCGCGGGGGCGAGGGCGTGCCGGGCGCGCGCGCGCGGCCCGGGGGGCGGCCGCCCCGCGGGAGGGCCGTCGGGCGTGGTGCCGTCGCGGTGGCGGGGCTCGGGCCGCGGCCGCTGCCTTCGAAGGGCCAGGCGCGCGGCGTAGGAGGGGGAGGAGGAGGAGGAGGAGGAGGAAGAAGAAGAAGAAGAAGACTCGGCCTTGCGTGTGGTCTCAGTCTGACCTGCCACTCGCGCCAAGCCGTCGGCCTGGCTCTAGACATTACCTCTCACAATCGTCTCGTTCGTTCACGATCCGAGGTGGGGGTAGCACGCACCGTGCAGCCTCTCATACATGTGTATGAAGACCGTCGCAATTTATATCAGTCCCTGGGCAGGGGGTGATGCCCCTCAGGCCTCACAAGAGGCCGTGGCCGTCTGGTGCTGCTTGCACCTGGCTGGCCTCGGAGGCACTCCACCTGCCCTGAGCGGTCCCCTCGGCCCCCGAAACACATCTGGAAACCTCATCGAAAACTCCTCCGCATTCTCATTGGGGTGCCCAGGGTCCCGCAAGCTAGAAAAGGGTGAGAAGGCAAGGAGGACCAGGAGGGACGGCAAAGAGAGAGGCAGGGGGAGGGCGGCAGCGCACAGGGGCGCGGCCTAGTACACGCACAGGTGGGCGCCTACGCCCAACCACGAGTCGACCCCCACGGCGATGATGGGTAGCTGGGTGAATGGTTGGAGTAAGTGGAGCTATGCGCAGAGCGCATGTCCCCACCGCCTTCACAGAAGCCGAGGCCGAAGCCTTCTAGGCAACTGGAGATAGTCGTCACAACCACCAGCCGTGTACAACAATAATCATCACTCCACTGAGCCAAAGGAAGAACAAAAACTCGCGCCGATGAGGTCGGACCTGTCGCACTTGGGAAGCTCGATCTAACACATATGGAATGGGAGCGTCAACGACTCTGAACGTGTTCTCCGAGAACGTCCGATACGTATGAAAATGAGTGTGGTCTTGCATCAGGATAGAAGCACGCGATGACGTCTGGCGAGGGGTTACTTAGCCCAGACCCTGTCGCAGCCTGTGCCTCTTCCATCTGAAAAGAGAGCCAACGTAGTGACAGCGTGATCAGAAACAAAGACCGTGATGCATGTAAACGAGCGTTCCAGAGATCTGAGTAGTATGAAGCCGTCGAGCATTCCCAAAAAAAGAGATGTTATGAATTACTGGCTGGTCTCACGCTGTGCTTGTTCTCTCTGTCGGACCCGTTCACGCAGAGCTGCCAGCCTCTCTTCCCAGTGCGATGCTAGTGGTGTCCTCATCGTTTCTTGACTTTGTCCGCTTTCTTGCCTTTGTCGAGAAGCCTCTGAGCCAGCTGTTCGAGATGGCCCTGAGGAGCGGCCCCGAGCTTCATGCGCCCTCCCAAGACCACCAGGCAGTTCACCACCGCCTGCTCGATCTCCAATTTGCTCATCGCCACCTCCTCCTGGCCGTTCACTACTGGGATGGTCAGTCCGTCCGCTATCGAGAACTGAATCCGTGTGTACTCCTCGTTGTAGCACTTGCGGAGTCGGAAGTGCCTCACCATCAAGCCAAGCTCCATGTGGTTCGCACCTGATACGAACCTCGTGTAAAAGATGTTCACCAATCTGTGCGAGTTGGCGTCCTTCGACTGGATCTCCTTGGACTCCGAGAGGGATCTGAACGCGGCGCGCGCGATGTACAAATGAGGAGAGGCCAATT